ATTTTATACAAAGTCAAGTGATGTAGAATTGGTTGTGTTTTAAATAAGAATTAATCCTACTGTCCTGCTGTGACTGTTTCAAAAGGTGCATTCTACCCACCTGTGATGGGGGTCCATGAAACATGGGAGAAGGACTGTAGAGGAAGATGGCAGCATCAGTCTCTTTCTGACTTTCTCCACCATGATCTCCAGTATCTGTCATTCCGTGATCTCCCATCACCACCAAGAGTGTGTCATTCTGCAGACGATCAATCACAGACCTAGAAGAAAAGCAGAGTTTTCACAGGTCGTGCCAGGTGCTTTCTAATGCTCAACTGCTTGATCTGGGCCAACAATAACAATAATAGTGCTGGTATCATGACATATCTACAGCACTACAAGTGCACTGTGGCAACAGCTGATGATCCAGCTGCATCTGGATAATGGTGTGAAACAAGCATGTAGCAGCTGTACTACTGCCTGACCTGATGACTCCATCCATCTGCGTGAGTTTGTCAGCCATGGCTGGGTGATCCGGGCCAAACCTGTGACCACAGTGATCGACTCCAAGGAAATGAGCGACTAGGACATCCCAGTCATCACCCACCACTATTAAAACCAACAGCAAGAGACAAACGAAAGGAGATGAAACACAAATACATCAACCGCATAAACAAGTTTCCCACCTGTGGGACTAATAAAGGTCATCTTATCTTATCTTAAGTGTTGGTGCAAAATTATTTTGATTTTGCACAGTTTCCTAGCAACAGAGGCTATTTGTTAAATGTAGGTTTTAATTGCACAACAAATGCATATTAAATAACTACATACTAGTGTTGTAGAGGTGCTGGAGAATCCCGTTATCCACAGTGTGCAGATCCTTGACATTAAAAGAAGGGAAGGGCAGAGAGCGGTAAAACTTCTTAGGAAAAAGACTCTCCCAAGTGTCGTCACCCATAAACACCACTCGTTTGCCTGTTGAGAGACAGAAAGATTTATATGAGCAAAATCAGATGGCACAGTTGGTTTTCTGGTTTTAAAAGTCCTAGATTTGTGGTATTGCCAGGCACAAAAGAGCATGTCTACAGATAAGCAGAGAATCGTTGATGCTTATATTATTTTACTTTGCCCACAGAAACAAAACGAAACACTATTAGGGTCAAAATTATTAGCCTCCTGATGCTAATAGTTGATTATTTATCCTTTTTGCCAGATAACAGCCTGTGGTCATCTGTTGTAGTTTTCAGCAAAGCTCACAAGTCTTCTGAGCAATCCTAACTGATTCTTCTTTGACAAATCTGTCGAGCTCCTCCAGATTTTATGGTCTTCTGGCATTGCCCTTGGGCTTCAATACAATCCACAGATTTTTAATGAGATTCAAGTCAGAGTCTTTGTGCAGGTCAGTAATTTTTATTTACTTCTTCTAGAGTAGGTTGTTCATCAGGAACGATGCATCTTTTGGGATGCTGTTGTGTTGGAAGACAAAGAGATTACCTAGACCCGGTTTTACTGGCTTCCTAACTTGGTTGAGTCAGTCATGGGTGTCTTGGCAGTTGTTTTGGGGTCTTTAGACACATCACTCACTAGTTTTTCCCCAGAGTCTTTAAAATTATTCACTTCCTACCTCTGCAAGGCTTGTTCTGTAATCTGCGACTCTCTTCACATTTCACTTAAGTTTTTGACACCAAATAGTCTAAACAATTTTGTTGTTTGTTTGTTTTTGGCACGATGCTTTCTCAAGTGACGGCCCAGTTGTCATATTGTGTGTAATGTAATAGATAACCCTAAGTTTTACCTTGATTTTACAAGCTTTGACCATTACAAAGTTAAAGCCCATTATTGCACAGCAGTGGTTTGTGCTATGGCTCAATAAAGAGGTCTGTTTTCTGGGAGGCTATTGTTTATAAATGCTTTGCTGAAAATCTCTACATCCCATAACGTTGTCCTCATCTGTATGTTTCCCATAAAGCTCTTTACATGAATGAATTATATTTTTATAATTTACAGACACTTGTAATAACTCACCTGCTTGTCCAAACTGGTGAATAAGATTGTCCTCCAAGATGGCACTGGATGCAAAGTTGTTACCTACATCTACAAACGTCGGCAAAGATCCAGTCGTGAACCCCTTGATCCTCTGCATGGTGGTCGTAGGTGGGTCAGCACGAAAGGGGTACAGGCGGCTTTGTAAAGGCCTGGATGACACTGTCTCTTCCAGCACAGGTAGCTTATTCTCATAAGGTCGTGGTGCCGTCTTGTCGGAGTCATACCGGGCGAAGTCGATCTTCAGGGCGTCGATAATGAGAAGAACAACCTTGCGGAAGCGCGGCTGAGCTCGACAGAAGTCCACCGGCTCCTCTCCGGGCTCGAGCACGTCTCCGCAGGTGCTGGTTCTGTTAACCTCCAACCTGACCAGCAAAAATCCACCCACGAACAGGTAGATGCCCACGAAGAACACCGCACACATCCAGAGGAGCAGGGACAGCACAGGCAGCCCCTTCATCCTACATGCACAGGTAAGAGCAGGTCAGGTGAAATACAGGAACATTTGGTTTACATAGAGGTAACAAACACACAAAAATGAGAGGAACAGCTGCCTGTGAGCTACACCTGTTATAGAAGAAAATAATTCCGGTAACGTGTAAGGTGACTGAAATTTTAAGCTCCAACTAAAACCTCTTTTGCAGTTGAGTCGCACAGGTGGCTAACATGAATGACGGTTAAGTTAACGCTGTTAGCAGAAGCTAGCTCGCTTCGCCTTTTGTCACTGACCTTGTGGCAGCTAGTTTTCGTCCTCTCCCGGCCGGACGTTGGGGGTGAATGTGTGTATTAACAACACAGGAGCACCGGTGCCTCAGGTAAACAGAGAGCGGAGCAACACGCTCACCTTCATTGGGACTCCGGTACAATGAGATTAGATGACTGGTGGATGAAAGGAACCTTAGCGTGGAAAGAACACGGCGGGCGCTTTTCTGTGTAACACCATGAATACGTTTGCTTTGCCCCGCTCTGCGACTTACAGGACCTCCTATATACGGAACAACAGCTTTAGCGCGTCTCTGAAAATTGCTAAACACGCCAGAAATTCTGCAGAGAAACCACCCTTAAAAGAGAATGGACTAGAAATAAGTTTAGTAAAAGTTATTATAAAATATCAATAATGGTCACAAACATTTTAATTTAATGATATTTCATAGCGTTGTCTACTACAATATTGTTTTGTTGTTGTTATTGGTTGGCTTATTAACGTAAAATCAAATTAGACTTAACTGATGCAATTTAGGGTATCTAGGAGGTACTAAAGGCAATCTCAGCTGTCACTGGGAGAAAAGCAAGTTGCACCCTGGCCAAGTTTGTTAAGCCTCCGTTGTTTCTAATAGCCACAACCTGTGATTGTAAAAAGACAAACACAGGCCGTGGCTGTGAAAGTGGCCTTTAGATCTTGAAACACTGAGTCCATTTAATACATTTTGATCTTCTAAGGGTTGAGTGGAAAATTAGCCAGGGCAAGCTCACTGGCTACCAACTTTTGATTGACAAATATTTAATCAACCAGCGTGTGGTTTCACATTCAGACCCCTCATTACATCTGGCTTCAAAACACCAAGATGGTAGTGGTGAGAATGACCATCTCAAGAATTCACAAGTTCGTTTTCATACTCTACACCCAATTCAGAATCGGCAGTTAACCTAACAGATGTTTTCAGACTGTGAGAGGACGCAAGACAGTCCAAGGTACAGGAAAAACATGCACAATCCACATAGGAAGGCCCCAGGTGACTGCTCGTCTTCTTTTTTTTTTGCTGAGAGCCAAGTGCAAGTCACTGCCCCACAGTTTATGCACACACGATTATGCCTGTAAGGCAAGGTAGAGGGCTAATAAACCAACAGCGCTTTTCATGTTTGTTAACTTGTTTAGCAGGTAACAAGATAGGCAAACGTATTTATTTTTGCAGACTTTGTTAAATCAGCATGGGTGTGTTGTTTTTATTTTAATAGCCATTTGACAGTTTTCAACATGTTTGTATATTTTGAACATTTTTGTCCGAATATTTCATCTAACCACATCTTTTCAAATCTTCTCAGACTTAACATGCCCGGTTGCCCAGTTCATATTCCATTATTTTGTAGAAAACAGAAATAACAAAACAAACTTCAAGTCTTTGCAGTGAACCTTGAAATTTAATAAATATATCCGGTAAGACATCAGATATGAATACAAATACTCTGAGGAGAGGAATATTTTGATCATCGAGCTGACACGGGACATTACCTAGTCTTTGACAAAAAAAAAAAATTCTCTCTTAATCATTTCAAAAAGTAGTTGTTTTTTTTTTCCTAAAGGAAATTCTAATGTAACCTTTTCATGGGGATACAGCTTTATTATCGATAGGGTAATATTTCCAAAAACGTAGTAAACTGTGAAATTAATACACTTTTAGAAACATTGTGAGGAATCCAGCCAGGCATTACATGCAGCAACTTAAAGTTGGTGGTCCCATCAACACAAAGAGGGAGAATTGTCACCCATTTCTGTAAATAATACCTATGTATATATTTTCACCTGAGCTGGCTTTGATTATTACATAATTATTAATAATCTCCGAGAACCTGAATATAGTTATTTGGGAAAACATGGAAAATAGGCTGCAAAGTGAGAAAACATAATGGTATAATCTACAAAAACCTCAGGTAGAGAGGTCAAAAGGGCTCAACATATTAAAATATAAAATTGCTCAGGGGAGACTTATTTTTGCATCCGTGTCTGTGCTGACATCCACGTCAGCTGGATAGACTCTGGTATCTGTGTATTTGGCTGGAGGGTGGTGTTACTTTCTCAAACATACACTAATTAAACCATACTCGGTGAAGATTACGACTCCCCATACAAAAGGTGTAACTTTTCCCCCAGGCTCCAGGACAAGGCTTCGGAAGAGTTTTAAAGTTGGCAATTTTTCCCTTTTGTCCTGTCACTTTAAGGTCTGTGTGAGAACAAACTGTGGACCTTCAACATAAACTGCTTCTTCTGGTTCTGTGTCATTTATTAGTTTGAGTTCATTCATTAATTCTTTGTTCTTGAGGTGATCCCGACGGGTTCGCAGCCTCTTCACGGTTCTCCTCCAAAACCTCTGGAGTTACCCTCATGCTTGGCTTTGCCAGCGTGCTATAAATAGTCATAGCCTGAGTGGCAAGAAGACAACATAAGCAACATTAGGGGCATGTAAACTTAATAATTTAGAAGCTGTTAACATACAAATCCAATAGTTGGGACTATTGGATAGCAGACATACCTGCGAAACCATTCCACTAATGTCACCAGTGTTAGAGGGCAGAAGGATGGTGTTTGACTCTTTAGCGAGGTTTGAGAAAGCAGACACGTACTGCTCGGCTACACTTAGCGAAGCGGCAGCATTTCCATTCTGAATTTAAGAGGGGAAAAAAAGCATTAACCAATGAAAACTCTTTTGTAAGTCAGACTGTGAAAATGGAAAAGAACATTTACCTGCTCTGTCAAAGCATCTGACAACATACGGATGGCCTTGGCTTTGGCCTCAGCTTTGGCTAGAACTGCTTGAGCCTCACCTGGACGGAGCAGAGTAGTAGGTAACAGGGAGCATATTAGCCTCTAAAAGCAAAAAGATGTGAGATAATTTGTGGAAACTGGAGTGATAAACCAACTAAATGCACTTACCAGCCGCTTTATTGATCTGTTCTGCTTTTTCACCCTCCGAGGCTAAGATCTGTGCTTGTTTACGACCCTCAGCGACGTTAATGGCTGATTCTCTTGTCCCCTCAGACTCCAGCACCGTGGCTCTCTTTTTACGCTCAGCTTCCACCTACATGGGGTGAATAAAGTGTCCTGTTCTGTAAATTTAAGTGATTTAGTCTTGTCCCCACAGTTGAAATATCTACCGCTATATGCAAAAAATGTTTCTGACCTTGTCTGAGAAGACCTATAATTTATTTAAGGTACTATGAACTCTAGTTTTTAAGAATCAGTGCAAAACCTCTTAAACTTAACCAAATTTACCAACACATTATAAGAAAATTATTTGACTACAAAAGGTCTCTCTTTTCTGTTGAAGATATAAACTGTACTTGAATGATGGCTAAGCTGTACTTTCATGTAATATCCATTTGTACCATAAGATCGTGCAGTGAATTAAAAACTAAAAATTATGCTTTAAAAAGCTCTTTTGTTTCTCTCACCTGCATCTGCATGGACTCTTTGACACGAGGTGGAACGTGTATATCTTTGATTTCGTAACGAAGGCAACGGATTCCCCACTCGTCTGAAGCTTGGTTGATGGAATGGACGATGTTGGAATTCAGAGACTCCCTTTCCTTAAAAACAAATGCAAAGATAAAATACAACTTGTCCCTTCATGAACAGAGAAATAATATGAGATGAAACAGCAGTTTGTCTTTACTCGGAACACTTTGTCCAATGTGAGTTTGCCCAGTTCTGAACGCATGGTGGTCTGTGCCAACTGTGTGACAGCATACTCTGGATCCTCAACACCGTAGCTGGCCTGTAAACAAACAAAAGTATAAAGTGAATTTTAAATAAAAAAATAAGCAAGAAGATATTTGGATCTGTTCTAATTGTTGCCAGCATACCTTAAAAGGGTCTAGTATCCTTAAGTAAAGCACGCCATCAATCTGCAGTGTTACATTATCTGCAAGTTCAAAGAAAGTATAAAAATATGGAGAAAACAATCAATTCTGTTTAAAAAAAACAATAAGCCTGCTCGTCCTCCTGTGAATAATGAGAAATAAACAGTGTCTTACTTACCTAGGGATACTGCAGACTGCTCTGGGACATCAATCACAATTTCTTTGAGACTTTGAACATAGCGAATTCTGTCAAGTATGGGTATGAGGAAGTTCAAACCCTATAGATAGCAAAAGGGAAAATGTCAGGGTGTGCCAGCAGTGAATAATGTTTGGAATTTTAATGACATAGTTCCAATAATAAAGCAAAATGAGTTATAGTATTGTTGCTTAAATGCAAGTTTCTTTAGTAGTCTATCAAAATACACTAAAATTTCCATGGTATGAATGACATGGTAATATTTGGCCTTTTAATGATTTCTTTGAAGTGGAATGATTGTACAGCATACATCTTTAATTACTTTAAACAAATGAGAATTGGGTGACCAAGTGTGAATTCAAGTTGGATTGCATGTATACATATGGGCTCAAATATAAACATACACTCACTTAATTGTGTTCATAAGTGGTGCTGAAGGTTCTACAATGTGTTTTAACTTGACAAGGCAAAGACTGCCATCATGACTGACTACAACTGGTAGTTTCCATTTGTCAGCATTAAAATGATCTGTTTGACAGCACTCTCTGAAGTGACCAATACTCAGACCAATGTGAAAGTTCAAGGAAATCAGTGAAGATCTAAGGAGAATTGTACATTTACACAAGTTAGAAAGATAACTTGAAGCCATTTCTAAACAGCTGAACAATCTAAGATCATCAAACAAGTGTACAAAAATACAAGATAGTCAGATGTCTTACAGGGCTCTAGAGACAATGAAAAACACGCATCAAATCTGGTTATGGAATGGATAAAACACATTGACATTACATTTCTGGAGCGGCTTTATATATCCCCAATCTTAATCCTATTGAAAATTTATGAATGAAGCACAAAAGCTGAGTCCATGTCAGGAAACCAGCCAGTTTAAATTAACTCTCGCAAGCAGAGTGGTCAAATATCAGACTTAGTTTTATTGTCATTCAACAATTTGACATGTTATGAATGAAACACAGTTACTTAGGTCTTGGCATTGCATCATGCTACCAAACAACAAGTGAAACAGTAGGAAGATTAATTAATTACCAAAAAAAAGTAAGAAAATATGCCACAAGTGTGATGATGGCATACGATCGAAATATAATCCAAATTGTCTGGTCGAGGTGCAACTTGATAAGCAAATAATAGTGGGCCTTTGTGTATATTTTTGAGTCTGTATAAACATTTGACCATATGTAGATTAGAGAAACATAAATCCAAACTGAAGCACCTAAATCTTGTTTTGTTTTTTTACATCATTATGTAAACCAGGGCTCTAGAGTGCAGCCTATTTGGCTAATTTCTCAATGGTACGACTGGAAAAAAAAAAAAGGTACTAAAGGCAATAGAACTATAGAACTGTGCTCCAAATAAATAACTTTGTGTTGACAAGACCTCTGATCACAACTGTATTTGATCTGTATTTGTAATTGTGGTAAGTTGGAAAGCTAGGATATGTAACTGTAATGCAGTTTAGTTCTATGCAATATGATTTGATTTGACCAAAATAAAAATTTATGAAGTTCATGGTCAAACTGGGGATCGAGCCCATGTTGTTTGGGGAAGAACACCATCTATTTGTTGTGCTTTTTGGGGATCTATTAAATGCAACAAAGTTTACCGGCTCCAAGATCCGATGGAAGCGACCCATCCTCTCCACCACCCAAGCCTCCTGCTGGGGCACAAACAGCACCACGGTGTTCATGGGCAGGCTGGACGCCCATCGCTGCTGAACTGGGTTAACACACAACCTCGGCACGGTCCGCTGGGTCTGCTACAGAGGATTCATTTAAATGTAAACAGGTGGCATTACTGCATGAATTTGAGCCAAGACTCATAAGACTATCTTAGCTTGTAGAACTTAAGGTTGCTAAATAAACATCAATGTTAATATTTTTGTTTTATGTTTTAATTTTCATTTTTTGGTTAGACTTATTTGGTCACATTCTACATATTATATATGAACGAGGTCATTGGTAAATATCAATTTGAGTGTAAACAGTATGTGACCATATTAATCGACCATACCAAAGTCTTTCTCTGGCCTTACCAGCTAACCAATAGTTCATTTTCATCTAGAAATAATCATTATGTCCGCAAGTGTTCCGCTAAACATACAGTGCTATCGGGATTATTAAACGCACGGGCTCACGCTGATGAATGACACCTATTTCACCAGCGACAGAAAAGAACCGGTGCACGAGATGTTAAGCCGAAGGAGGCACACAGTGACAGTTTCAGTTACCTGCAAAATGAGGCCGCCGGTCCGACACAGCGTCCGTAACATCGCTGAAAGATTGCAAAAGGACTGTTTGAAAATTAGAAGATTAGGTTTGGTAAACTACACTCTGTTGAGACTACACAGTCACGCGAGTGACCCTTACCGATCAGGAAATGAAAGTTACATCAGTGGTGCAACGCTGAAAAACTCCCCCAGCGCGGGAAACAAAAAGTCATACAGTGGTTCCGCTAATAGATACGTTAATAATAATAAATTAAAAAATATATAAAAAATATAGGACGAAATAAGTGACTTTAATAGAAATGTTCACTGTATGAATATTATAGTGCCTTATAACTTTCACATAAACTAGTATATTCTTTTTGCAGTATGTCTTTAACTATTTCACGTTTTAAAGGTTACTTTTATTGTCACTGTTCTCTTTAAGTACCTTTCATTGTGGAAGACTAATAATCTATTATGAAATATGGTTTAAGTCTACTGAATCTTATTAGTTAATAAAAATATCACTACTGGCAACTAATATTTGAGTAATATTTCGACTACTACTACTATTTTTTTTTTGTTTTGTTTTGTTTTTCGTTAATAAATGCACTCGTTCTGGTGTAATGGCTGACACAATTCATAGGGTGGTGCTATTTGTTTCCTTTTTGCTCACTCAACTCAACGTTGTCTTTTGGGGTCATTTGGTGTATGTGATAGCAGTTGAACACACACTGTGGGGACATTCTGTATGAACCTTTTCTTTTTCTTTTTCTTTTTTTAAGTAAATGTTTATTTAATTGGGTAAATGGAAATGTAAAATGCTAATGTAAGGATTTATTAAATAGATAAAATAAAACCAAGCTCAAAGTCAATCTAAAATTGTGAATTATCAGTGCTAAGAAAGGATTGTTTTGCTAAAAACAAACACAAAGACTCATGTTATGTGTTTTAAAAAAGACAGAGAAACTCCATAGAAATATAGCAAATTCACCATTCTGCCACAATTTATAAAAAACATATTGTACAGTTTGAAAGCATTGAAATGTAGTTTTACTTAAATTTTGTATTTATGGAATAACTTGAAATTCATGAGATTCATTAAAGAATACATTTTTCATATAGCTTATTTTACTGATCCCTACGAAACCTAAAATTTAGAAATCTACAGATATCTCCTCACAGTTTACTTTTTTATGTGTGTGACATGCCCAGAGCAAACACAGCTTAATTACAAAACATCTTTTTTGAATATTTAACGAACAAAGAAACAAAAGGCTAGGTCACTTTGAGTACCTTAAATGAATCTTTCTACTGAGAATCGTTTTATATTGTCTATGGTGAAATACAAAGTTCTGGTTGTTTACTTGAATCTGTGCGCGTTACCTGTGTCTTCCGCCAACCTGTCCCTCCCGGCGATTGGACAAATGTCTACATAAGGCTCAGCCCTTTGGCATCCTGATTGGTCGCCTCAGATGCCTGTAACAGGTGTCCCGACCCCGCCTCCTCCCCCTCTCCTGTCTCTTTTCTCTCGGTCTATCCTTCAGCCTGGAAACCTGTGATGAGAGTTTTAATAATGGCGTGGCAGCAGAAAGGGGCAGCTGCTCTCTGCCCAGGTCCGGGACCGGAAAACCACCTGTAAACATCGAAGAGGAATTTATCAGCAATTTTTAAAAAAACAAAATCTGTTTAGTGACTGTTATAATGTTACCTCACAGAGTAAATCTCCGCTGAGAGGTCGCTCTGTAAACTGTGTGAAACTACTGGATTGTCGCTGGAAGCGGTCGGTCATGTCGTTACTGTGCGTCAGAGGTAGGAGCTTTTATCTTTATTTGTACTTCATAAGCGATTTTGTCTTTGTTTGTTTGATGAGTTAGCTGAAGTCATAGTGATAATTCCAGTAACAACTTACAAAACTGGTTTTCTAACAGTAGGCGTTCCTCCTTGGGTAGTATCTGGAAAAAAAGTACCTTTATCCTGACGTGATTTTACGTTTTTAAAAACCAAGACTTTATAATGTTTATCTTTAAAAACTCAACAGAGGTATGTATTTATCATTTATGTTGAAAACAAATCCTTGGGGTCCTCAGTGACAACTGAGGATTTTATAATCGAACTTTTAGTGTCTCGTCTTAATATCATCTCCCAGCATTCGTTTCGTAGGCCTCTACATTGAAAGCCTGTTATGATTCAGGGACCAAGGCTGGGGGAAAAAATAAACCGTGTTTGCTATCAAGGAATCCGTCTTGTCAGAAGAAGGTTGATAACAAGGTTAGTGTTCATTCCATGTTAGCGTGCCGTCTACCAGAAGACTACAGCGAATCAGCTGGAGTGATGGTGGAGAATCCTGCTTTAGAGGCTTTTACAGCAGAAGAGCACATTATGCAATATCCCATTCAGCAACACCCAACTATTTGCTCCACTGCTGCTAAGAGCTCGATTAAAAAAGAAGAAGAAGAAGAAGAAGAAGAAGAAAAAACTACCCCAAACAGAGATAACTGTCCCCCCCTAACTACACAAGCATGCGTATCTGCAATAACACAGCCATCCTCACCAAACTACTTGATATATTTTTTTTGTCTTTACAAAATTTAGTCTTTCAGAAATTAATCTACATTAGTTACTCTTACTGACTGCTTATTAGCACAGAATCCTTCATGGGGGAGTTTAAAAGTTTTGGCATCTGCTATAGAAGTAATGGAGCATTAATAATGCCCACTGATAAGAAACTGGAATAAAAGTCTTTTTCTTCTTTGTAATTCAGTCTTTGAACATGTTTTACCTGAAAACAAATAGGCTTTACTATATTGTTTCTCTGAGTGTATATTCCTGATAGTGTACTGATTAGCTTCCAAGTAATGACGAGAAGCCAATGTCTGTTTACATTAAAAGGCACATTTTCTTTCTTTTTTTCCATTTAGTCCACAAATTCTTGTTATCTGGAACTTGTGTGCACGAACCTATGCATGCCCAGACACATCTGTGTTACAAGTGTTGGTTATATGTACATTAAATATAAATCTGTTTAAGTACCAATGTACTTTCTGGTAAAAAAAAAAAAATAATATGAATATAGTTAGCCTCAGGAGGTACTGGGACACCTGTGCACCAGTCTGAGAAACACAAGGAATGGTTCAAAAAGAAGCATTTGATCTCACTTGCTTGAAAAAGTTGATCTCAGTGCCTCTGCAAAACCTCTGGAAAGACTGTTCTTCTATTGATTAGTGAAATTAAAGCTAGTAGGAGCTGCAGCCAATAGATTACAGGAAAGGTTAGAGGAAGAGGAAGAAGTAGAGTAGATAGCTTAAAGGGTGCTTGGGCAGAAGCTTTGTGATTAACTAATGTTGTGAGTCATCGTTTGATAGCACAGCTTGACAGTGTTGCCTATTTATTGCTAGTTGAGATGCTTCATCACCATGGCAATGTCTTTATACAATAGATAAGTGGTTGCCCTTACGAGTGAACATGTGGGGGAAACTCTTACTGTGCATCAGGTCAAGGCTGAGTTGACACATGGTTCACGTGGATGACACGATGCTGGAGGACTGGAGGTGCACAGATATTGTGTATGACATTGACATTGCTGATTGATTTAGTTACATGATATTTGTGGTTAATAAGATTTTCTTCGTTTCAAGGGCAGATGAAGAATCTGCAAGAGCTTATACATGGCTGTTAAAAGAACGCTTTGTGTGGTGCTCCACTTGAAATGGAAAACATTAATTGAAAAATGAGGACAAAGATGATCATCAAACTGTGGAGTCGCATTCTTAAATGTTGAACATTAAAGCAATTACATTTGCAAATTGCAGGTGGGTTACATTATTTTAATGATTTTTGGATTCAGGTCAAGTCAGATTTGCCCGAGGGCGTTCATTATCTGGACAGGAGGTAAAAGCCTCAATGCTTGTATTCTTGGTGTCAACAAGGATTATGAAAATGGTAGAAACCTCCAGAAAGAGGGATAGATCTCTACTCCAGGCATGTATTAATTAAGTGTATAGAATAGAGCAACATCCTGATTTTCAATTGTGATTAAAAAATTATGCAGAGCAAGAAGCTGTAGCTTGCTCAGACCACCGACACATAGACCTAGAAACTAGTCAGCACCTGACTGGTTCGAGTAGTTGCTGGCAGTCACAGTAAAATTGATTGCCAAATCCCTGTTCATGCAGGCTTAAAGACTGGACAGTAACCAATAGATAAATACTATTCGCTAGTTACAAAATGTGTATACAGTTTTTGCTTTGAAGGCAAAATGTCCCAGTTTTCAGTTTGTTTGACTCTTTCAAGTTTTACTACAGCTTAACAAGAGTTTGCAGACAAGTTTATGTCTTCAGTGCAAACTATGGGCAACCGTGGCAATCTGATGGCAACCAAAGCAGCCACAAGGAGGCCTCTGGTACAGCATAGTCTTTGTGACCAATTTTGCCAGGAACCTTCAGCAACAGCTTGCAACTGTTTCAGGAATACACATTTTCTGAAAAAGCATACACATTTTCAAATATGAGCCAAGTCTGCTTGGCTCATATTTGTCTACAGCCAAGTCAGTTGCTGAGGAGTTATGCTGAGATAATAATTATATAAAGGATGCAATGGAGAGATAATAGTGACTGAACTGGAATCTAAGGGGTTGAGTATAGTAAGCAACCGAGTAGAGGAATTATGAGAGAAAGACAGTGTGTGTGTGTGTGAGAGAGAGAGAGAGAGCTTAGAGATTGTGGGAGTAATCCCCTTGCCATCTGTTGCTCTCTCTCCTCTTATTACCAGCTCCAAGTGATCAGATCCAACAGTCGACACAAAGCGGAAGTACGCCACTGCTTTGACTCTGGTGTCATTTCCTGTTCCTAACTCCTGCTTTGTGCCTGCCTGCATGTCCTGTTATTTGGTACATCAACATTTTCCTCTTTTCTGTTTTTTCTTTTAAAGTTTAAACATTGTTTCATTATTTACACCTCACCCCTCTATGGATTGTAGGGCAGTCTGTGTATGTAGCAAGTGAAGTTGACTAAATCCTGCAGTGCTTTAAGAAACAGATTACCTGACCTGAATTTAAATGTCGAACCCTCAATTAAAAAATAGCTAAAAATAATTTCTGAACACTGACATTATTTGCTGTTCATTCGTGTTTATACAGAAGAAATAAAGTATAGATACTGTTTGCAGGGGGTTAAAGTCTTTATTTGGCTTATGAACATCATGAGCTGCAACTTCAGAATTAGAGATTTTCTAAAAATGTGTGCCATCTATGAAGTCGTTTTTTGTTTTTCTTTTAAATTATCATCTGGATAACACAGATGGCTACAAATCGCTAACAGTATACAGTTTGTTTGGTTTCTCAGAAAGCTGCAGGATTTTGTGATTTTTAGTCACATTGCAGATGTTTGGAAAGCAAAATGGTTAAAGAAAATTCAGCTATTAAAACTTTGAGCAATACACTAGACACCATCTTATGTGTCACATCAGCTGTGAAATCTAACATGTCAGTGGTCATGGACACAAATTGTCATGCTTTTGCAGGTTAAAGTACCTCAAAGGTCTGCTGTTTGAGGAAACATTTTTCATACTATAAGCACATATTATGTCCATTTAAAAGGGGAGGTATCACCATGGCGACCAAGGCAACAAAGCTTTAAAAGAAGTGGCAACTACTGTATCCCAAACCATGATAACCCAGTAGTTTTATGGTCCCCTACTTAACTATGTTCTTTGTAATGCCTAACCCCAACCAAGTCACTGCAAATGTCTAAACTTAACCAAGCACTGCGTTTTGTTTTTTATTAATAACATCATTAAAAGAATACAAATGTTGTGTGACAATCTATGGCTTGTATAAACTGAACACAAATCTCAAGATGATTTGCTCTGCCAACAACCTCTGACCTTCAAATGCAGACTCTTATTGTGGTTTTGTTTTCATGTCCACAGGAATCACTACATAAGAGATGATTGATGAGAAGTTGTGTTGAGTGACCCAAAATAATGCTGAGAAATTAGTTTTCAGGAACAAAAGTAAACATTACAATTTTTGTCCATAAATGTTAATCAATAAAATAGAGAACAACTTAGAGGTGACTATTTCATGAAGTGTTGTGAAACTGTGTTGCATATGTACCGTCTGCAATAGTGCAGCTGGTGTTAGTTTCAATTTATGAGGTAGGGTTTGTGTCATCATGTCAAATTTGTAAACTGCTGGGGGAAAGAGCTTTGCTTTGCTAAAGAGAAATGATACTGGATAGTACTGGAGTGGGGGGATCTACTTTTATTGAGACATGCGACTGCATTAATATATTTGAAACCAAGTATGATCAAAAGCAAGTAAAATTAACCAAAAAAAAAGAAACCAGTAGGTTTTGAAGAACAGTAGCTAAAGATCAACTACACCCATCAAATTAAGCATGGACAGAAAACGATAAGGATCAGTTTCCACTGCAATCCCCCTCTCTCTGGTTTAATGCCCTTCTGCTCTTTGTTCCACAGTCAAAATTAAGTGATGCAAATGAGAAAAGAAGGCCACAGCCAGCTCATTTGACTTAGTGGAAAAAAGAATCATACTGCTAGCTTCACTGAAGATTTCCACTGTTCCACAATGAGTTATGTAAAAGACAGGAAACACTGGGTGAGGACCAGTGGTCCTTTTATTTTTTTTTATTTTTTTTGCTTTCCATTGTTATCCTAGAAGTAAATTCGGTTAACTCTGTGTCTTTCAGTTTACATTTGTGGCTGCATGTGTTAGGTTTGGTGCATTCCACTTCAGCCTGCATTTTTATTCATTCTAATTGTTACTTCACTATTAGTTTTCTAATATGCAAATATTACTTTGCTGTATTTATATGCATATGGTTCTCTCAATTATTAGAAGACCCAAAAACTTTATACCATTGTTTTAATGCGCACAGAAAAAAACAAGGGATGGTACATGAAAATATGAAAGCGTTATTTGTGCCTCCATCATCCCATTCTGGACATCTGGCAGCTCAGGCCTTAGAGGTTTAGTAGGTTATATGCCTGCACACACAACCCTGCCACTGCAATCACAACTAATCCTCTTCAAATCGCTTCACAATCCCATAAACATTATTGTAAAGATGCATTGAGGGGCTAAAGATGGCAGGTCGACTTATGAACCAAAATCGAGCAGCACGTGGTTCTTCACCATAAGTAATGTCTGGAGGTTTTTGGAAATGGCTGCTGTTATCAGACATTTTTGGTTTATTTTGTATCTTAATACCCATCTGCCCGAGTCCCATTTTTCCTTTGTTTTGTTTTTTTGGGTTAGTTTTTTTTGTTTGTTCACCAGCTGTTAAGATTTGTGATGCAGCTGTCAAGGCTTATGCTTCATGATTATGTAAAAGTTGCAATCCAATAAAATGTATTTGTCACTGCTAATAAAACAGAGGTGCCAGTCTTTAGTATCCCATTTTTCATTGATTTAACTTTGAAGCGTTCTAACTAAAATGATAAAGTTTTTGCAAATATATTTTACTATAACTGAACTGTTATGCATCAGGTTTATCAGTTATAAACTTAGCAAAACTATTAACTATGACACAATAATTTGAATGAAGCTGAAAAATATAAATGGTGTAAAGTTGATTTCGTCACATAGTTCTTCTGTTTTGATCAAACTGCACAAGATGATGTGTTTGTAGTCTTCATTTGTTGCACGTTGCACCAACTTATGACTTGAATAAGTAATTAATTATAGTTACTAGTTACTTCTTCAAAAAAGTAACTGAGTTACAAGACTCTAAAAGTAATTAATTACTTGAAAAGTAACTATTGCGTTACTTGGCCATTTTTTGCTACTTTTGATTTTACCTCTCCATTTCGCCTTTAAAAACTATTTACTGCCTTTTTTGGTATCATTCTTTTCAGCACAATCTCACGTGTCTGAATTTACAGTTATGTTTTCATTCTGACATACTGTATTAACACAATTGATCTAAAATCAGACAAAAAACATAAAATCCGAGTAGAAAAAGTTATATTTTTTACTGTAACAACCACAAACATGTTTATTGAATCATATTTCATAACTTTAAATGCAAATATAAATTGTCAATTTTAAAATCATATGCACAAGTTTTGCAAACAACAAAGTTATTTGCAGCCATTTATCTTTTATAAAATAACCATTTCAAACTATTTACATAACAATCAGCTGTTCCGCATTAAATTAGATGCCACACAAATTATTTGTGCCACTCCCAAAAAATTGTTTTCTGTCCACTATAAAGGAGAACATCACAGCAGGTCTGACAGCAGCAGGTGTATCACTCAACCTGTTTTCTACCTGGAGACAGCAGTCATTGTTCTGACACACAACACAAAACTATCCACAACACTACACACTAACTACATAAGACAACACATTAACTGCACACTACAAACAGGCTAACCATCACAAATTTCTCACATCTCAAAACTCGCTCTCTTTTCTGCTGTCCCTCTCTCTCTCTCGCCGTCACTCCTAACCCCCCCCTTCTTCCTAAACAACCAAATATCATGATGCCATATCATTTTTTGATTGGTCAACATGGTACATATTTCCACCAAAACGAACTGGGGTTTTTTTTGTTTGTTTGTTTGGGGTTTTTTTTTTGGTTACATGCAGAGAGTGCTTGCTGGCGCTGTCCTTAGACTGTAAAACATTGTGAAACTATTCAGGAAAAAACACCGTGTATATATTGTTTATCATGACTCTGGTTTTACGTGGCCTATCCCCACAATTTAAAAACTGGTATATATCACCTTGTTGCTTTGTCATCTTGAAGTGGCCATGTGATTGGGTTACCACGACTACTTTATTCTTCTTCAGTCAAACGGCAGCACTCATGTGATTGTTTTGCCGCCTAGCTCCAGGTGTTTTGCCAAAAAGTGATCGTCTGCCAGAAAGTGATTGCCGTCCGCGGGAGTGCGGCAGCTGCCTCAGGCTGTAGCGTCCAGATTACTTACAGCTACTTCTGTGCAACTGATATAAGATGCGGTAAACTGAAGACAGGTTCAACCGTCTGTTTGTTGAAAAATAGTAACGCGACCGCGCCGCATTTTCTTGTTAGTAACAGTAACGGCGTTGTAATGATAGGAGTAGTAATTAGTTAGATTACTCGTTACTGAAAAAAGTAACGCCGTTACTTGTAGCGTCGTTATTCCCATCACTGCTTACTTGTCTGCATAATGAGTAATTTGGTATTCTCAAGTAACATGAGATAATTACTTTATGCACATCTGTGTTTGTATTTCAGACTTGTCTTTTAAAAATAATTAAAAAAAAACAAAGTCTTTTGATTCAACATTGTATTACCATCATTTGACCTACATTGGAGTAGTATATCTCTTTGCTACACTACATAATATACATATTGGAAGTTTTGTGGATGCTAATCAAATGTCAGATGTATTCATTAAAGACAATAAGTTTGAAATAATTTATTTAAATAATTTAAAATTCTATTTACACTGTGCTGTTATACTGTGTTTTAGGTACATAAACACTGGAAAGGGTTAATTTTAGGTCTTTGGTAGGTGAGACCCCTCAGGGGCCTAAGATTTACCTATGTGTCAGTTTTAGTTACGTATTATAGTACGATGTTTATTCTTAAGTTAGTGCAAATTAAATTTATGTAATTGAGCTAATCTTTGTTTTTGTGTGTGTGTGTCTGTGTGTTTCTGTGCGTTGTGCAGTGAAGAAAGCCAAACTCCAGGGACCACCAGGTAAGAACTTTCTTTATTCACAAACTTTATTCCCATTCTCAGGCCATTTTACCTTACATTTTACTAATGTTCATTGTTCACAGCTGGTGAGAGATTTGTATGCTGTGAAACTTGTGGGATTTTTGATTATGTTTATTGGTGTTTTTTTGTTTATAAAAACAAGAATGTCTGAACTGTCATCCATGTTGAACTGTAAATTAACTCAGTTATCCAGTTACCCAATGAGGATGCCCAGAATTCTACACATTTTGATCAAAACACCACTACTTCTGTGAGGTTGCTTTGTGTAGACCTTGTTAAAAAATATGCCATGTGTACTAATTGTCTTATATAGGTTAATCTCTTAAATTCTGGCAAGTCACTACAGGCGCTAGGGTTGATTTTGCGTTACGCAATCCTGGGTCTTTTAGTGTCATGCCATGCAGGTGGACATAGATCAGTGTCCAAATCCCCAGACTCTCCAACTAGGCAAATCCCTCTGGTGTTCAGGCTCTTGTCTACCTTTAAGCCCTGTGACATTTCTGGCAAGAGCAGAGAGGAGCACTAATACAAAGTCAACTTAGCTTTGAATTTGCCATTGATATTTTACTCATTTGATGCCAAAATGACTTCTGTGAAATTTTTTCTAACCCTTTTTGTAAAATTTCTGATCCCTTACAAAATGTGAATTTAAAAAGAAGTATTTTGTAAATCATTAACATCCTAAAGTTAATAAAAAATTTTTAAAAAAGTAATGGAGGGGTAGTATAAGAGTGGGAAACGTTGTTAATACTAAATACCTGTGATACATCTCACAACTAGTTATGTTCATAAGCAACACATGATGGATGTGAATGGGTATCAGAAAAGCATTCCGAAAAAGGCTGAACCTGTTAGAGAAAACTGGAAAAGTGTTCATTATTCTGCAAAGGACAATAGTTTGGGGATTTAAGAATGACTCAGTGTGACATTAAAATAACTTGGGATTTCATCATCAGTACATAATGTCATTGAAAGATTCTAGGAAACAATACAGTATTAGTTTTTGGCTTTGTGTACAAGCCCAAAAATCATTACAGAGTGGCCATAATCTTCTGGTCCTCAGACACTGCTACATTTAAAAAAAAAAGAAGTGATTATCTAGAGGAAGTAACTACATGGACTTGGGACCACTTCAGAAAACTTCTGTCAATTAATGCTATGGTGCATTCACAAATGTCGTTTAAAAACCATCAACAAGGAAGTAAAATATACAAATCAGATCCCAAAACACTCTGTCCCAGTACTGGTTTAAGATCCACTGAGATGGAAAACTGTCATGTGGGTTGACTAGTCCAAGATTGAAATTCTTCCTTGAAATCTTGGACACTGTGCTCTCCAGGCTATTGATAATGGGGGACATCAGTGCACAGCTGAAAAGCTAGCATTTGCCTTCCAGACAGTGTCTTCACTTTCTAATGCTGTGAGTTCAGTTTTTCTAGCCAGCATCAAGTGACTGAAGTTGATGCTTTTTTAAGTTTTTTTTGTTGTATTGTCAGTTTTCAAAGGGCTTTGTAGCATTGAAACTTTGAAGGGATTGTAAGACTTTGCTTGGCTGTCTATGACCTCCTCCCTCTTCCGGGTCATACGACATGTGACACCTGTCTCAGAGCAAACATTAGGTGAATTTCACTTTAGCCAGGTATCTCTCTGAAACAAAATGTAAACACTAGTCACTTTTGTTGTTGGTGGGGTTTTTTTTTTTAGAGGGCAAAGACGGAAACGAAGGCCTGCGAGAGAGTTCTTAGCTAAGAAACAAAAATAACGAAATAATAAGTTTAGCATTTTCATGTGTTTAAAGATGTCCCTTGTAATGTGTTATGGTGTTAAAGATTTTGTCAAAAAAGTGTATCAAGAGTAGCTTTTAAAAAAATGTCATCAAAGTAAAATTTCCAACTAATCTAAATGAGCTGTTTTCCTTAGGACTTATGAAGTGATATCAGCTCAATAAACTGATGTGAGAGCTTATGAGTAAAGGTGTTTTAGAAAACAGACTTTGAAAATATACAAATAATGAACTAATGTATTTTATTTTATTTTTTTCAGAAAATTTGGTTAAACATAGCCAATGCTGTTTTGCTGTCCTACCTTTTTGGCACCGTAAAGTGTGGCCATGATCCAGTGAGCATGAAATATTTTGTTATGCTGCAAATGCAATGGTTTGTGCTTCAAAACTGCATACCATGATGTGTTGAGCTGCAAATTTTAAGATCAGATTTCAGCATTTTGTTTATGATTATTGCACCATTTTACTTTCCATTTTTGTGTGAATAGCAATAAGGGATAGATTCTGAAAGAACAGGAAGGAATAAGTACTTACTGAACATATTACTTACCAGTTTTCTTACCTCATGATAATTGTACTTGCATAGGGTGACATATGACTTATTGGAAGAGGCCTCAAAGTTTACATAAGGCTGGGCTGGGATTGATGTTTGTATTGTGTCTACACCACACCTGCGCTTGGATGGCTTTTAGGCCTTATTTTGGCACATTTACACACAGGGTTTTGAGAGAATACTATAAAACAGAAGGTGACATTGTTTGAACTAGTTAGCAGTCTATCTATCTATCCACTGTCTTATTATCCACTGATTTGTGGATAATAGCTGTGTGCTGCTAGATGTGTGCTTGCAGAGTCTCTGCTTGGAGTAAAATGGGGAATATATAATTTTAATCACAAGCTTCTCTTTTAACTAAGTAAAAAATAGACTTCCAGGTAATATAATTGCTTGAGAACACTATTTTCCCAAAACTAACTTACTCATGAAGATATTCAAGCAATGGTAGGAAAGTCCTCTGATAAATGTATGTTTTGTGTTGCATGCAATATTGATAAGTGGCCTGATGTTGAAATGCCAGTCTTCCAGTTGCCTGCATTTTCCTGACTAATTTATTACTAAGAAAACTCATCACTAATCAATAATGAATGAAGACGTTTGACTGAGGGTTTACGGTGATTCTCAGAACATCACATGAGCACATTGACTGGCGTGTCTTCACTGTTTTACTGTGTGTGT